TGGTCCCCCCTCGCTTCTGGGGGATAAACCTTCACTGTTTCCCTCTGTCATTTTCAACTATTAGCAAGCAGTGACACTGTGGCAACATGGTGTAGAGTCACATCTTTGAACTGGCTCAGAACCTCAGAAGCAGTGATGCTCTGCCAACAGAGCCTTTCAAAAGGCTAAAAGCGTGTCAAAGACTCAAGGGCCTATGACTGGGTTTGAAATACTGCAGGTCAAAAAAGGACACGTTTTGATATTTCTTCTTCACCAGGCAGGAACCCTCCAACAACACATTCATTAAACCTGAAATAATGGGAAACTACACAGCTTAGTAGGGTGAAATGAAAGCATGCTCCTTTTTAATGAAATACAGTTTTATATGAGCATGGGCATGTTTAAGTGAATGTCAATGAAAATAGCAGTTCAAAGCAGAAAAATTAGTTTTTGCTGTGCTACAGTTGAGTAAATTATTATAACAAAGCTGGTAATGACCCCAGAGAACTGACAAACTAAGGTTACAACACAATGCAACTGGTAGTTACAGTCATAACCCCAGAGAATTTGGAGAGCAAAGCTAACAGTGAAATGTATTTCCACAATCCATTCATTCTATTGTTGTATTACCAGGATTTTCTGAGACTATAAATGTTAAACATGAACAATTTGTTAAGTATCTTCAATCTTCCAACTTGTTTTCCCCTGTGGGAAAAATGCCTCAATAGCTTAGAGGTGAAATCTGTAACAACCACCACAGCAAAAACCCCTCCATAATAGCTATTAGTCAAACAGCTGCCACTTCATACTAGAATAGGCTGATCAAATTCTGACAGTTCTGAGCTCTGTAACCTTTTTTTCCACATTTCTTCTCAATTTGTTGTCCTCACAAATCTGTGTTGAGAGACATAACACAAGCAGCTTGCCTCCAGCTGGAATGGCAAGCAACACAGTCTCTCTGGAGCCAGTATTTCCAAAGATGCTCCCAAATATGCTCCTACATTCATTTCATTCAAAGGAATGTACAAGCAGCCACACTGTATTTCCCCACCTATATAAAATGTACACAAACTACTGACCCAGCCCCATTTCTCTCCGCATCAACCTATAGCAAACCTGAAATTACGGCTGCACTTCTGAAGGTCAATTCCCTGGCATTACTGCAGCACATTCCAAAAGGCTGATATCAACATTCCTTCCTAGAGAGCTTGATACTGGATTGGTGACTGAAATGAAGGTAGGTGGCGTGTAGAAGTGGAGTTGTTAAACAGCTGGCAACATCTGTGTTTCAGCTATTATCACACAACAGTTACTAACTACAGCCAAAATATTGAGCAATTTTTAGACTTATAGCAATTTCCACATTCATTTTATTTCTTCTGATCTGTTTTCAGCAAAAGCAGTAGTCATGAGGAGAAACTGTAGAAAATAGGTTTAAGTAACAGCAATCACTTAATATTGCTTTTGTATCAAGATCAGGCTTCTGATAGTTCAGAATGCCTTGTATTTTGAAGCATCTTGCTCAATAGCAAGAATAGGAATAGGTAGAACAGAAAATTGTAATTTGTTTCCCTGATGTTTCTTTATCCTACACAGCCACCAAAGAGAAACAATACAGCAACAAGAAGATGTATACCATATAAACAAGGTGTTTATGTTATTATGCATACCATACCATAAGTATGCATAATAACAAATGAACAAATGAAGAAATCTGAAGGGAACTCTATTAAATTTTATTTAAACAATTTAATATTCTAGTTTCATAGAATCGTAGAACAGTTTGGGTTGGAAAGGACCTTAAGATCATCTAAGTTCCAACCCCCTGCCATAGGCAGGGATGCCTTGCCCTAGACCATGTCGCCCAAGGCTCTTTCCAACCTGGCCTTCAACACTGCCAGGGATGGAGCATTTACCATTTTCTTGGGCAGCCTAATCCAGTGCTTCACCACCTTCACAGTAAGGAACTTCTTCCTTATATCTACCTAAACTTAAACTTCCCCTGAGTTTATACCCATCACCCCTGGTCCTATCACTACATATCACTAGTTTACCACTTGCGATCTACAGACAACTACATCTGCCACGATTGAAAAGAAAGACTAATCCAAAATTTACCTCAGTAAATTATCCTATACAGATTTGAGACAGAAGATACAAAGCTCCATGGGACAAGAGAACACTAGATTAATGTCTCACTTGTACATACGTGCCCTCAGCTCACTTCAGTCAGCACTGAAGTAAAGCAAAAAGAACTGGATCCCGAGTTCGTTCATCTCAACAAAACTCCAATTATTTCACAGCATAATTTCTGATGCCCCTCCACTCTTTCAAAATCTGCTGAGTCAGGAGATCAAAAACAGAGCAGCAGCTTTTCTGTTCATACTTCCTCAAAATAATTTGTTTATGAAACAGACACTGACGCTCAGTGCTGGGTATGAAATACATTTCTTTGTATAAGAAACTGGCCTTTTCAGACACCATTAATTTGCACATGTCCTGTGAGCCCTGTGTATTCAGTATATACTCACATGCATCTCAAAGCTTCACCCTCTATGAACTTACACACAAAGATTTGTGTGAAATACACACTGCAAAATAAACAAACACCCTAAACCAACAAACTGGTAAAGGGAAACTAGGATAAATTCAAATAAACTAACTTTAAAAGGCACACTGTGTTGCTAAATACAGTGATAACTTCCTAAAAGCAAGAATAAAGGTCAGCAAAGCCACCTGCAAAACTTAATTTCTTAAATGGTAAGACAAGAAATTTCTGCTTCATTGCCTTGGGTCAGAAGAAATATACCAGCACTTAACCATGTCTTGCAACAGTACACTGATTAATTCACAAGATTTTAAACACACAACCAAAATATCCTTCTATCTAGCTGATGATACAACAAATAGAGTTTTCAAACTGAAAGATTGCCCAAATTAAAACTTGTGTGGTTATAAGGCTATAAAATTTACATCCCTGCTTTTATGACACTTTCTAAAAACCACAGACAATCATAACATTGACTCCTACCTGAAAACCTACACTTCCAACAGCCAATTCATCCTAGTACCACACTAAACCATAGTTCAGTTCCAATTCAGAGGGAAGAATCAATCTTCAGGAGAAATTACATGAGATCAGTGAGCCTTTAAGGTCCTGCTCTCTCTGCCTGATCCCAGCCACATGGCACCATTCCTCAGATCAGCTATGCACAGTTGTGAGACCCTTCACTGCCTATTAGGCTGCGGAAAGTCAGATAGTTACCTGTGGGTTAGTGAGCTTGAAGGGGTTCACAGAAGGTATCCAACAGAAGACAGGGAAAAAAATTCCAAGGCAGAAGGTGAAACCTCTCATATTTTGCATGCAAAAGCCAGCAGATCAGCTCTTAGTTGCTCATCAATATAATTCTTCTAAAGCATGTGGGAAAGAAAAATCCTGAAAACACCTAAATACCAACCTTGCCCAGCCCTGCTCACAACAGCTTGTGAAATCCAATAGGATCAAGGAACAGTGTGAGCCTGTAGGCTTGCTACAGGTCGGAAGACAACTTTACAGCTATAAATGGTAACCAACATGTTTAACACCCAAATATCTCTGAACAGCTTGTCTTTAAAGCAAACCAATAATTACATCAAAACAAAGGGATTTTATTGACAAAACTAAGTTAGACAAAATGCATTCACTTACTGAATCCAGAAAGCAGAGATAGGTTCCTGAGCTTTGAATTACTGCTTGATTTTTAGCAAATCCAACTGTTGAGAAAACAAAGATAAAATTATGTGGCAGTTTTTACTGTCGTATTTTTTTAAGTCTTACTACCATCAGGAACAGATGAAAGGAAATACAAAAATCAGGATCAGGGAAAGTACACAATTTTTCTATATTGAAAGCAAGGTCATTTGTAAATATTTATCAGTGTGCCTATTTCAGTCATCTTCTCTGAGTGATTATCAGTTGTATGTGTTATAATTTTACCACCAAGTAAACTTAGGCTACTTTTGGTAGTAGTAGAACAATATAATATGCAGTATGTGTCTTAAAGAGTCAGCTACGTCAGTTTCACATCCAGTACCTCAGATCATATAGTCATAGAATGGTCTGGGTTGGAAGAGACCCCTAAAGGTCACCTAGTGCAACCCCCCCTGCAATAAGCAGATGCTGAAAACCCCTGGCTGTATATACATTCGTCTCTTCAGTTACAACAAATAATAACAGATCATAAAAAGGCAAAGAAAGAACAAGAGCTTGCTAAGCAACCTGTTCTTCCCATTAGGGACGTTCTGTTCTGTTCCACTATGCTCATTAAATATAAAGTATGTAAATGCAAAAAGCTTCCTGTGCCATTAGCATAACGGCACAGGTAATGCAGAGGGGAACCAAAGCAGAAGAATACATATACAGAGAGCACAGACTTGGCTTTTTTATACCACATATTAGACCATCTATTGAAGACACTGAAAGACAGTTTCAGACAAATGACAATACTGGCATCTAGGGTCTTTGTGTTTCTGACTCCCTGAAACTTGCTGAATCTTTTACCAAGCCATTTTAGGAAGTTCAACTGAAAGAAAACTTTCTGTCAGCTTAATTTCTGAAGCAGATGACAGCACTGGCAGGTCAAACTAATGGCAGGGCAGAAATAAAAAAGTGGGGGGCAGGGCAGTAATACACAGCCAATGGTAAGGATGGGATTGCAGCAACCAGCAAGATGATGACCTCAGCTTACCACTGAACTATGTCTGCAAGGTTGTTATCTGGGAATACTTTTGCATGTAGGCAATGTCTACCCAAGAGAATTATTCCCCCAGACAGCATTATCCAGTGTTACTCTGAAAAGCGCTATATGAATTCCACTTGGTCATAATACGTAACATTTAGGCTTCATTTAAAGTATTTATGGAATCAAGACAGGGAATCCAGCAAAAGATTGCCCTGACATGCAAACCAAATGAGGTGAAGATATGCAATACTCTGGGATTTTTACTCTTTAATGGGAAAACTGGAAACGTAAAGCTAGAAAAATCTCACCATGAAGTGAAGCAGGATAATTTTAAATAATATTGTCCCTAATGTTCCTGATTTTGCATTTGAAAAAAAGTAGAATTATATAATTCTCCACTCTTTTTATGTGATACAGGTTTAAGTTTACTTAGGAAACAAATTTAAGTGGGCTCAAAGGTTCACTCAGTTTTAATGGACATTCTTCTTGGCTATTCTGCTGAGTTGTCCTAGCACAGAAGAAGACTTATGACTGCATTTCTTACTGCCTCAAAGGAACATTATGTCAACTACCAACAGAACACTACTAATGAAGGCTCTTCTTTATAACTGCACTATTCTTTTCTTACCTATTTTGAGTATTTGAATCCTCACCTTACCTTCTCATAATCATGGATTTCTCAGGCTTACTATCTTACAGTATATTACCTTTTCAGACACATATGAATATCTAATCTCACATATACAGTTACTCTCATTCTCCTTCCTATTGGCAGTAAAAAAGCAGCTGGCAAAGTCAGTAGCTACCACAACAGCCGAGCTGAAACCTGGCATGAGGAGTTTTAGTGGGAAACAACTGACGAAAGTTTGCAGGTCTGGACATGCCAAACAAGCAAAACCCCAACACTGTGGAGGTCCCTACTAAAGCGAGAGGTAGAAGAACAGAACAGACCTAAATCTGCCCAACATCAATGAAATCATTACTCTCACACATCATTACCAGCTGTGAAGCAGCCTATACTTGTATTTCAATGCTGTCATTAGTATACCCCAATATTTCAACAACCTTCAGCAGAAAATAATGAAGCACTAGGAATCAGTAGGAAAAAAAGGAAGGTGGCTAAAGGCAACTACAAGATGACAATTACATTACTCTATGAACGTTCTGAAATATTTCAGATCTCTTTTTAAAATAAAGCACTTTACATAAAATACTGAAATCTTTAATACTTGTTATGAGAAGAAGTTGGAAAATATTTCTAACATTAAGACAGAAATCATCCTGAAGCTTTTACTACAGCAGATATTTTTTTAAGGGGGAGAGAAGAAAACACACATATTTTAACAATTATTAGTAAGGGAGATACAACTCCCAGTGGAAGAAACTAGATATTAAAAATGGTTTCAGCACAACAAATCCCATGCTTGGCATGAGGAAAAAAATTTCTTTCATATTACTTTACTGAACAAAATGCAACGTTTGTGCCAGGTCTTTGAGTTTTGTAAGGCCTGCTTACTTGGTGAAAAGAGCCTGTTACCATGGTTACAGCCGTAAAAACTTAAGCCTCAGTGAGATATTAACATTCCTCACTCTTGGAAAGAAAAAGGTTTCCTTTTTTTAGGCAAGTGACCCTTTCTTTTTTTCTAGGTTCCCCCCCTTTCTTTTACATGCTAGAAAAGAATCAGAAATAAATCCTAATCTTGTGTAAATAGTTGAAGATGTGAAGCCTGACTAGTACATTGTTTCTGTACTAAAGCATCTTCTTTTAAAGGAAAGACTCCTTACAGTTGTAACTAGTCCTTAACATAATAAAAGTAAATCACTGAAAGCAAACAAATACTATGGATTTCAAGTAACCTGCTCCTAAGATGTAACAACCGTGAAGAAAAGATGTCCTCATTTTAATGGTGACCTGAGAGTGACTTCCACATGAATAAGCTTGGGTTTGTTTTAAGGAGCTCTGCATTTCATACTATTATTTAAAACAATGCTCACAGCTGTCTCCTCCACCCCCAATTTATTAAACATTTGTTCAGTTTTCAACTATCCCAACTCTAATAAATGCAAGTTAAAACCAAAAATAACCTGACATATCCCTAATGGCACAATATACTCCTTGCAGTTCACAAATCAACTTAGTTTTAGGTTCAGCTTTCTAAAGTGCAAAGGTGATCTGACTTCAGAAGTCTAACATGAATTACTGCCAAAATGTTGTACCTATGTCTTCTTGCAAACTAAAAACTGGTTTACCCACAATTGCATCCTACTTAGCTTCTAGATCACCAACTACTAAGAGAAGTACCATCTGAAAAGAGACTGATCATCCAGTAGTTGGGGCAGGGGGGAAGAAGATAGATAAATTTCCAGGCATACAAGGAATTCTTGACATTACCTAACTCCAGCTTTTATCTGTTTTCCAAAAGAGAAAAATTCCCTCTAAGAACCTTGTCTGTCTTTTGTCAGCAGCAGCTCAATAATGCTAATATTGCAAGTTGCACTGTCAAAACAACATCAGTTCATGCTAGAAATATTAAAATACTACAAATATTTATAGTAACAGTTATGCTGTATTACTTCGGTATTGCTAAGTCTGACAACTGTTTAAAAAACAGCTTTACATAAGTCTATAGTAGAAAGAAATTACAGTAAATAAAGCCAGGGGCCTGTACCAAGGTGCAGACGAATTCAGTGCACAAATTCTAATTTCTCTGCATGGTTCAACATAGGATGAAAATTAAACCTGCTGAAAAAGAACTGGGCTTTTTCATAAGAAGATCATTTTGAGGGGACTGTAATAAGCCTGGGTTTTTTTCAGTTACAAAAGGGGTATTTTGTTAAAAAACACATAAACTGTCCATATTTTGCATTACAGTGTTTCCAAAGTGTGCCTTGTGCATTTTAAGTGAGGTAACTTGAAAGACACACATTTGGAAACAGTTTTCTATCAATTCCTACCTGTCTACTCATGCCCACAAAATCCAGAATGATTAGATATACAAATCCCACACACAATGTGAGCATCATGTTCTGCTTGTTTTGTCCTGCTGTTCTCCTTTGGAACACAGACCTGATCATCCAACTTCAGTGCCATTCAACACCAGCTTCTTCAAAGAGCAATGTTTTCTTTCTATTTTACAGTTAAGCGAGCTTGTCTGCTTAAAGTCCCACTAAACATAACCAGTATAAGCAAAAGAAGAACTGTTAGAGAGATTTCTTTGTTAATTTCCTCCAGTGGGTAAATGTAATTCATATTAGCATGTAAATTGACAGGGAATCACACCATACACCTTTCCTGTAGCTCACTAAACATATTGGTTTAGCCCTTTGTCTAAATACGCAGGAGTTTAGTGAGAGTTTTTAGCTCTCATCAAAACTTTCCTGAAACCTCTGGTTTGATCTAATCATCAAAAGAGATAGCAAAAATGTATTTTGTTCTATTTCAGGTCTATCCTGCATTTACTTTTAAATCTTTCTGTGACAAATTTTAGATTTCTTTTTTCTTAAACCCCATCTCCTGAAGATGACTCAGACCTCAGAAAGACACAGTAAAACTGTAAGTGTTAACAACATTGTGTATAGTACAATTAAACAAAATTCTTTTGCAGAGTAGCACACGAGTGTTAAGCCAAGTTCTTTTTTCCTGGACATATAAACAAATCCTACAGAACCAAAACCAACAGGGCCAAATTCTAATTTGGAATGAGGTTTTGAACAGAGAACTCTGGAAAACAGTGTGGGTTGTTTTTTTTAACATTGCAATGCAAGTGGCTACAAAGACACTTTTCAAACTAAAAAATAGAAGATGCCTGTGATAACAAGCTGACTCTCAAAAAAATCACTATTAAGCTACATACCGCCTCGAGGTTGAGATGAATCATTGCTACCAACAATTACTGGAACACCAGCATCTTCCAACTTCATCTTCCATTTTTCAATTATTTCAGCTGAACGATCCTAGAAAAATGATGACATAGATTGCAGCTATTTTAAGTGTATGGTGAACCAAACACAATCCAAAACAAAGATTCCTATCAGAGACAGTATTTACTTGGGCAGTATCTTAAATAAGGTCTGAAACATACCTCACTGGCATCATTAAAAACTGACAGCTCCATGGTTTCTTTAAAATCTTGTTCCCAAACTGACTTCAAGCATTCATCTAACCAGCATTCACTATTGTGAACAGGCATGATGACAGACTGCAAGAAAAGAAACAAATATCCCAGTGTATGTCAGTAAGCACTATTTTTGTTTACTTACAGTATAAGAATATTCATTAAAAAGTGGAAGTGCCAGATCCTTCTGAAACTTTCACCAGAAAATGCATCTTAAAAACATAAAAGTAAGCAAAGATCCTTTATTTCATTCTAAATATATGATTGACTTTCTTCTCTATCAAACTTATTCATTTTTGGAGTTCTAAAAGGATAGCTCTCCAAGAAACAAAAGACTACTGAAGCAGAAACACTAACAACACATCTGTAACACCAAACTAACCTGTTTCTAGTACTCCTGTGTTTCTTAGGACACTCTTTAAGCTCACTGCCTAACTGGAGATGCTCATATATGCAGCCTGTACCCTTGGGCTCTAACCACGTTTTTAAAAATGATTCTATTTAAAACTGCTACTAAGCACATCAGAAGATGCTGTATGCCATAGTTCCATAGTCTACCATTTCAACTTCAGGCTTTCCTATCACAGCCTCTACTGGTTCAGTCACACACACGCAAAGCATGAAAACCTACCTGAAGTACTTTAAAATTGGTTAGAAACCAGAGATGAGGGTTTTTTCTGTTCAGTTACTAACCACTGTTCTAATTAGCCCCCACAAAAGCCAACAATTGCCCCCAGATTCTTTCAGTATCTCACAAATAAACATTCTGGCTATGTTTGTAAAGGGAAAGGACAAACCCGTACGTGCTAAGGTTGCTTCTAGATGGGAAACGTAAGGCAAAGAACCCAAGTAACCTGTAAAAAGGCTCACTGGACATTTTAAGAAGTTCCTAGAAACAGAACTTCAACTCCTTATTGTGTGGTGTAACCATAAACACGTAACCTGCAGAAACAGAGGACTAGTTCCTATTGTGAACACGTGAGAATCTTAAGAAACAAAATAGTAGAATACTGAAATTGAATTAATCAAGATTTAGTGACATGTGAGTACGTGTACACTGTGCAAATACAGGCAAATCATACATGAGTAGGCAGATTTTGTGGACACTGAGGTGTGTGCTTTTGTTCTTCTACAGCAGTATGATGTATGGTACAATGACTCACAAATAAGAAACTTAAGAACATTCCACAGCAAAATTAAAACTATCGTTGTCTGAAATGAATGAACATCCTGTTTTTTGGCAGGATGCTGTAGAAGGCGAAAGGGGTGTTTAAAAGAAGTAGGAGGAAATCTGTCTAAAACTTTAAGCAAAGAAGGTCTTTGACTTCTGTTTTGGAAAGATAAATAAAAGAAAGACAAATAAAAATATGAAATTGATTACTAAATAATTGCAACAAAAAAATTCAGAACTTTGAGACTAAAAGAACAAGCAAAAATCTAAGATTCTAAACCAATATATTGCATTGACTCTTTATTTTAGTATCCTTTAGGTGTAGATGGCAATAAAAATACAACCTTGTACATTTATACTAATGGATCTAACATAGTTGTTCAGAAAGAAAAGGGTTCTCCAATTCTTCCAATGACAATATAAACTAGCCACAGGTTTTCACATCCAGAAAAATGAATGATTTTCCAATTTGTTTTCTATTTAACTCTGTAAAAATGTGACTATTCCATCACAAATCAGCTCAATATTGTCTTGAAAACTACAAAACTGGAACTTCTTTAGTTTATTTCACCATAATGAACTCCCGGTTTAAGTCAGGACAGCAGGTAAAAGCACCACAATTATGTTTGGACCTGTGCTTAGTTTGAACTGAAAACAATACTTTAATGGTAGCACATACAAAACCATTCATATATACCTGATTGGCTCTAAGGTACTCAGAATTTAGCATAAAAACTCATAATAGATTAGTATGAAACCTAAAAGTCGCAGTTGGTACTTGTCCTGAACTGGGCATTCACAAACTGGCCTTGATTATAATGTGAGTGTATCAGAACACTTCAGTCTCTTTGGTTCATTTAAAGAGGCATCAACCAGGGCCCTACTGCACTTATCAATTTATAGCAAAAAAAAACCCCCAAAAAATGAGCTGGTAGTAACCTCAAAAGACTGTATCTATTTCTTTTATGATCAACAAACATCTCCAAGGACAGAAAGACCAGCCTTGCTAAGGCAATCTCTAAAAACGGGCATAAAGGAGACCTGGTGTACCATTTTCCCAATGGCTGAAGTAATTTTGCTGCAATTTATGCCAACTATCACTTCCTGGTCTCTGCAGAGATTATTATTCTAGTTCTCTTTGCAGCAGCCTTTCCTGTATTTGAAAACTGCTACTATAAAAGTGAACTACAAAAATACGCAGAAAGCTCCTTCAAAGTAACTTTAAGTCAACACAGGGACATAAAATGCAAACGACTAATGTATTTTTGTCATTCCAATATCAACTGAGTGACAACTGAGTCAGAATTATCCTTTCACTAGCAGGATCCAACAGAGGAACATCCTCATGGCCTATACGCCAAGCTCAACAGTTAATACACAGAACTATCATCTGGTTTTGAGCATTGTGACCCTACCTGGTTTTCTCTGAACTTCTGATATTCTACACTAAGACCTGAAGCAATTTTAGGTATTTTTAGTAACGTCATATTGCCATCATTAAGCTGAAGATTCTTGGCTTTGCTGCAGAATGAATTTTGATGTACGGACAAATAGCAGAATGTGAAATGGTTAAAAGGTGGTTCAATCCCCTTCCTTCTACAAATGTATTCACAAAAAAGCCTCTCTTCTTCCCTCAGCTAGGCCACTGAAAACCAATACATCAACCACATGATGGGAAAGAAGTAGAAAAATGGGAGGTTTTAAAAAAGTGTCAGAAACCATGCACCTGAATGTTTTGAATCCAACAGATCTCTTGTTGCTGGCATTACCACCAGCATCCTTCAGTAAGGAGATGCATACTGAACAACTCCAAAGTAAAAACTTACTTTCAGTTTCCACAAATTTCAGTTCAAGTAGATGCCCACTTCCACATCTGAGTGTAGAAAATCTATTTTAAATATCATTTTCACACTGAAGATATTAGTCAGAAACCGTTATTTTTAAACCAAGTTTTCACATAAGTCATTATTCCAAGCCCTTTAGAAACTCATGGCTGCTGGCAGAAACACACCAGTTTTGCCACATCTCCTCTGTGGGACACTTTAAACAAACCCAAAGAGACTTTTCAGGCCACAAACTCTGACCTGCATTTAAGGTGCGAGACTGTGAAGTTGTCCATCATTTTCGCTTGCCTATTGATCTGTATGGTTTTGCTTTACAGATGTTTGCCTCACTAAACCTAAATCGCTGCCAAACCACAACAGTTTTACGTGTATAAAAGAAACCCAACCCAATAATAATTAAGAAAAGCCCCACACATTGCTGCGGGCAGCACTAATAACGCCGGCCCGTCGCTGTGCAAGGCCAGGCAGCGCACAGCCGAGGCCGCCCCGCAAACCCCCGCTGCTTTCCTGCACCCAGCAACCGCAGCACCAACGTCTCTCCACAGCGAGCACC